GAAATATCAATTACCTGTACAAGACATCCTATAATGAGAACATCTCCAAGTGTCCCATGACGATTAACATTGATAAATGATATTAATAATAATAGAAAGAAAACAAATACTTTTAAATTACATGATTATCAAGTTAATTAGCAGTTTCTAATGATGCACTATAGATATGATTAATTAGATGAAATCACTGTCCTGCATGAAATAGATAATATCACTGCACTATATTTGCTTTGCGTCTATTATATTGTTTCAATAAACAAGTAGAAAGCTGAGTCTGGATGCTATTACAATTCATTATGGCGATGAACTTCTGTTCCTCGTCCAACATTGCGAAGTCTGGCATTTTTTTCTGTGGCCACGGAAAAGAGTTCAAACCTAGTATCATTATATTGTGGACATTTCATCTTCTATTTCCTGACAATCACATAGTTTACACATGTCTTTCCACTAATGGTAAAGGCGGTCTGGAGTACCTACCGGTCTCGATTGCCAGGGGTAAGTTTCCGCTGCGAAATGATGTAACTATACGCCTATGTGATCTTTGCAAATTTGACAAACATATGGTTCAGGAAAGTTTTTATAATATCTAAATGTCCTTAGTTTATTACCATTCGTCCTATTTCTCGTGTCATTATATAGTTGATTCATCCATTCCTCCGCATCTAGGTTTTTACATATTGTATAAAAAAACAAGAACTTCAAAACGTACACTGACAATTTGTTTTAGATTTGTAAAAAAAGTTTTCCTTTCAGAGCATTCAAAAATGCTAAAAGAATGCTCATTTAATCGCGAGGGTACAGCAAAACACGAAGTGATCGCCGGTCTGTCATTTTCTGTTCAGCTTACCTAGACCGAAACGTCTGTACATGGGTATTGATCCGATGCACACCTAGGCGACAACACCTGCCTGAATCTTCATTCAGTCTAGGCATAGCTTATTAATTAACCAAACACGTTTAACAGGAATACATTTGTTTTTCTGTTTGTTATTGATGTAACAGAGACGTATATATTGTAATATATACGTCTCTGGGTGTAACGATTTACACAATAGTATATACAGTCGCCACAAATTGTCAAACTTACTTGTTAGCAGCGAAAAAAAAGCAAATTCGGCCCAAGCTCAGAGACAAAATACGTGCTCAAGACGTATTCACTCGGGAAGGTTCATCTTCATCTTCAAACCTTCCTCCGTCAATATTGGTCTTGTGTTGTAGTGCGTTATGTACAGTGGTTTTGTTTTCTTTATAATTTGCTATAGGATAAAAACAGGTTAAAAGCAGTCAGTTTGAGTTGTGTTGAAGATTTTGTATTTGTTCGATTATGCTGTTTATGTGGTGCATGTCCTGATCATGAATTCTGCTAATGTTCCTGATTAGATGATTGTTTTGGGTAGGAGGTTCCAATGCGTTATGGTGTATGCGTCTTTGGATGTGTAGAATATGTCTGTAGCGGAGGTCGTGTCCTTGATGTGTTCTGGTGTCTGCGGGGATAAGATTGGAAGTGCGTGTTGTTACTTGTTGGTGTATTATTTAATTTTGTAGAGAAGAATAATTCGTGTTCATGTTCTGCGTGTGTGTAGTGTTGGCCATTGTAAGGATGCACCGAGCAAGAAGAATTCCTAGAAATTCCCACCAGGTCCAATACCAACAGCAATACTCGAAAACACTAATTACTAGACAACAATCATTTTTTCCTCGTGCCATACTAGACTGGAACAAATTACCATCTGACATCGTTAATGCACCCACTTTCAACTCTTTCAAAACATCTCTTTCCAGGCACACCTATACAATTTGAAGATGCAGAGTAATTAGTTACTTCAACAGACTTTACATAATAATTTACCACTTCTCTTCTTTTCCCCCTTTTCCGAACAAGCTTCGTCGGTTGGGGCTGCCCAATCACTGGCTTGCTCGGACTCTCCTCGAACTAATTTTGTCCTTCTCTTAACTTAAACTAAGTGAATAAATATTAATTATTATGTAATATATATATAGTCTGTCATTTGTGCTGCATAAACCCAACTTCGTGACAAAATCTTCAATTAGTTGAAGGTGGTCACTATATGGTAGAACTAGAACTAGGCTGCTCTTAGTTGTAATGTTTTCTATTTGATTTATGGTGTTTTTTGAGGTTTACAAGGAGTGTCAGATCCTTGTTGAAAAAGACCTTGGTAACTTTTTATTTTTTATTTTTACGTACACATAGTTTCTTTTAAAGTTAGTTTACAGGAGCTTGTTACCCTGTATCAGCTGTCAAGATCACTGCGGTCGGAGTCAGAATCTTTGTTGTGTCCCAAAATCTCGTACTGTGACCTACGGAAACAAATGCTTTGGGAGGGTTTCGGCTACGTTGTGGAATAGCTTACCATCTGCTATTAGGAAGTCAAATACCCCGGCCAAGTTCAAGAGGGACATAAAATCTCACCGCTTCACCTCTGCATTTTAGAATCATTGCAAAGACGTCATGTACATACCACCCTTTTATTTGTTCAATTATGTGCACATTGCTTGTTAAATGTATGAAAGTGATTGCAAGCCTTTGTTGTTTGTTTTCACAATTATAACCATTACTATTATCCATATGTTGTAAAGCGCCTTAGAGTAATTTTACAAATTATATAGGGCGCTATATAAATGTTGTATATTATTATTATTATTGAAAGAAAAACACAGGTAACAATATAATTTTCTTTTTAATTATTTTATCAAAATGTATGCATCGCTCCATTGTCAATGTATCACAGACCTCATATTTATTAACTGATTTAGCAATAAAAAATTGACACATTATATGAAAAAGTAATTTGTTAAACTCCATTTGCATCAATGGCTGGACATAACATCAATATGTATTGCATCTTAGTTTGGAAAAATATCTACATTTCATATCACTGATTAAATGTTTACAAAAGATCATTTTTAAAACAACGGCATAAAATCACGAAATGTAAATCATATTAGTGTACTAGTAAAAAGGCCCAGTTGTTCAAAAGGTGATTAGCTTATTATGATTAATCACTGTTTAATAACATTTTTCGGCCACTAATAATTTGGTCAATATGCAAGGTAGAAACTTGTAATATTGCATTTAATTTAATTTTAACAAACTATTGGATATTTGAGTTTTTTTCTCTCAATCAATCGTTGTATTTTAAAGGCACAACACAAATTGCGCTGATCACCGATTCAGTTAATCACCTTAAGCTTTCGGACAACTGGGTCCAGATAAATATTTTGCTACTACAACAGAGAGAGGATCAAAGTCTTACTTGTTCCTATACTTTGATATCATTGACCCACAGTGTCACTTATGATACGAAAATAACATTACAAATATTAAATGGCTGTACAACATGTTTGACTAAAACAATAATAACTGTAATTACAATTTTGTAGTGGATGGAAATTAAATAATGGGGCTATTTAATATAAGGCACATGGCTTAAATTGGTTAAAAAATTGATTGTACTATCGCTCAAATCTCCAAAATATACGGCGGTAAATGGGATTTCAGCTCGACATTTAAAAAAGGAATGCCATTTATCTGATTAATTCACGTTCTTTTAATTTTCAATTCGATGTCAACGTGAGGAATAACTGTATTCGGAGACGGACTTTGGGAAGTCAATTAAGTGATCTCTAATTGCAGGTGGTCTCTTGATAATGTCTATTCAACATAAAAATAATAACAATGGAGAGTTTTAAAAGCAATTTCTAATGCAGGTTGTGTCTAGTTATATAAGTGGTATCTCGTGCCATTTGACTACATTAATCAAGATTCTCAAGTAAATGGGATTTCAGATCGACATTAAATAAAATATGTTTGTCAAGAGCGTGGTAGATTTCGATCAGCCATCATGATCACTGTGGTCGGAAATGGAATCATTGGTAAGGGTTCCACAACCTGTGGAAACCGAAGCAATGGAATCTTTGTGGATTAGTTTATATTGCCATTTGCTCCCATAAAGTCCAAACCCTCAAACATTCAAATAATTTTCAAAACTTACCCTACCTGTTTACAAATACTTATTATGTGAAGCGAGACCTAACATTCACTTGGCAAGTTGTCAGTCTGATATGGAAATGTATCTTTAGCACATACATATATATATATATGTAGTACTGTTTCTAAAATAATTATACATCACATTGACATATTTACACAAATATAAATTCAAAACTGATACAACATGTCCTAAATGAAATAATAAATATTTAAAGACTGATATTTAGAAAACACAGTAAATGTCAAAATAATTTAAAGCTCATACAAATCACTCGTCCTGTGTCTGCCTTACAATAAATGCATTTAACAACTGGGCAGACAAAGCGTTTCATGTTGCAAAATATTTCTAGTGGTTATATACATGTAGAGACAGTGTTTTAGACGTGCACAGTGCTTGTGTAAAATTAACCAATATAGATTAGGATACGCATTGAAAACTAGGGTAGGTAATTATATATAAATAAGTACAACGAAAAACATAGTTATTATTTTACCTGAACATTATTAATTTGTCTCCTTCAATCAACCTGAATTAAAAATACTTTAAGTGTGTGTGCTTGTAAATCAATAATGCAAAAACACTATCAATCATTAGCAAAAGATTGCCTTAAAATATACACCATCTTGTTGTAAATCCTATAATAAAACAAGCTCATAAACTATCTTGTAAACTTTTCTTAGTTTCAATTAAGGGGAGTGGGCATCCTCGATATCCAGGAGTTACGCTCACTTTCGCTCTCTGCACCCCTGGAATATGGCATGGCAAAATTGAAGGCTCATTGTGCGCCACCTTGTGGACGAGACGAGAAGACTAGTTTGATCCTTTGATGTACATCAAAAGAATCTCGCAGCCATGTAACAGTAAAAATTGACAGGCTTTGAAGTTGGGCGTCTCTCCTTTGTAATCTTCAAATGAGATGTATCAGCCTAGCGATTGGTTTTTACCCGAGACCAATCAAACAGCTATCTTGGTGCCTTCAATTTTGCCATGACATATATATATTCCAGGGGTGTAGAGAGCGAAAGTGAGCATATATGTAACCCCTGGATATCGAGGATGGGGAGTGGGTGATCCAACTTCTGTGCGAAGAGGTCAGTGAAGCTCTGTTTTACCCATCAGACGGATTCCACAAAGAATACACAAGTCCTGGCTGTAGCAGTAGAGTTATCAATAGGTAAAGATGACCATGACAACGTCGAGCTGGCTACCCAGCAAGGCATTAATTGTCATGGTCATCTTTACCTATTGATTAGACACGTGCACGGTGGCCAAATGGTTAAGGCAACTCTGAAATTCTGCCCTCCATAACTGGGTCACAGGTTTGAGACCAACCCTGCGGGCAGTCGCCAGCTAGGTCGGTGGGTATTCTCCAGGAACTCTGGCTTTCTTCCACCACCAAAAAAACCTGGCACAACCTTAAATGACCATATCTGTTAATATGACGTAAAACACAAACAAACCAAACAAAATCCACAGCAAAGCGTTCACTTTCCACTTTGATAAAAAAACTTGCTATATACAAAAATGCTGTCATATGTTGTAGATCTCTTGGTCGACTGCTAAACTAAAGATATCCAACTTTTATCCAAGATCCTTTTGAAAATTCCTTACAGTTTAATAGTAAATACATTGCAAGCACAGAATGAATTCAACAAAATATATACTGGTAACATCAGATAAAAATATATAAGTAACACAAGATTGTTCAAGTAACACAAAGAAACCCAGTAACACAGGATATATACACTTATAGTGCTTCTAGATATAATAGTAACAAAAATTATAGTATACAAGTAACGCAATAACACATTCTAGTAAGATATTTCTAGTAACACATATATACTTCTTAGCAACAAAGGATATAACAAAGTCTGGATAATTTAACAATAAATATATAAACAAAACATTAACATCAATATTTATAGAACAAAATATTATAATTTCAAGCTAAAATTTGATGTAGTGGCATTCAAGATGGCATTTAAAAGACAAACAAGACAATAATTAAGTTTTGGTGAAATTGGTTCAGAAGAATTACAGTTTAACCCTTACACCACTGTAGACCATAATGGACTCATCCAGATCAACGCACGGTAGAGTCTACTAAAGTAACGTAGGGGTGAAAGGGTTAAGGAAAAGGGTACCAACAAGTTAAACTATATACAACAGTATTCCCATTGTCGCTATTGTGGAATACTTCTTTTTAAGTCCTTTTCAAAATAATATTTGATAAAAATCACATGTCGTCATGAATTTTACAGAACTGCATTTAATTTGAAATTGGAATGTTTGAACATTGCGATACTTTTTAAAGTGTGTATCACACATTGATAAATCACAAACGGACACATGTCGTTACTTAAGAAAACATGAAAGACCAAGTAAAAGGCCCATTCTTGCCTTGGTTCAGATTTCCTTACACATATGGACTCCCATCAATAAGTCCTATATAACATCTCCTACACATATGGTATAGGTAGCTAGTTACATTATACTCTTCATTCTTAACAAGATGGCTGCGGACAAGTTTACATTTCTACAGGTAAAGACTCCATTATATTTAACCAATGAATTCCTCACTAACAATTAGCTTAAGTTTACAGGCAATACATCAAAATGAGTGACCCATTTATGGGCCACAAAGCATATGAAAAAACTTGATATGGGAAGTAACTCTAAACCAGAAAAGCTCCTTTTAGTTGCTTTATCTTCCATACAGAAGGGAGATTACTCAAAGTAAAACAATTCTGAGTGGAACTCTTCTGTGCGATTCTAACAGATGTAGTGGTACCCTTTACCTTTAAGTGTAAAATGGTTCCGTTGCCTGAGGCAGACAAAAGTGGAGAGTTATAGCTCACCTGTATTATATTCTAGTTTTTTTCTGTTATAATCAGGTCTGCATGTCATAAGTTAAGAAGATTAATCGGACCATTCATTTGAATAAACTCTTAATTCCTTGCATACATACTAAACTATCATAACTCTACAGGACTCATGGTTCTAAAGAATCGGTTTTGAAATTTTTAACACATGACCACCGCAATCTTCAAAGCAGGTATAAAATTCATTCATTTCAACAAATTAACAGCCCTTCTCCAAAGCATACGATGTACGCAAAAATGATCTGATTTAAAAAAAAAATATCTTTGTATAAAAGTCTGATTATTGCAATATATACATATAAATGTAGAAATTTACAAAAATTATGTAAAAGTAATTAAAAAAAGTAACAATCATATTTGATTTCATTACCTTTATTAAAAGCTTTATCTAATACTCTAATATTTAATAGGTATCAATTATTTAAAATAAAACAATTACACACCAACAGATGTATAAATTTTGGCCCATTTTTGCATAGTTCATGATGATAAAATACATAAAAACCTGTTGATAATGACTAACAACAGAAAAAAACATAATAGCCTCCATAAACAGGTTAATTTCATTGATAAAATTGAGGAATTGTAGAAGTTCAATTTATACATGATAAATTTATTATAGGTGGTCTCTAAGGTTGCATTGGTTGCCTCTATTATAACGGCACAATGACTTACAAGTGTATATCTGAAATTTTCATTAATGTAGATTACAGAATAAATTCATGCCATTAATTTGACAATTCTTCTCAATTGATATCCCATTAAAATAAGGCAATATATATATTCATGGCAAATAAAGTTATAAATGCAACATTAACCTTCAACCTTTAATGCCCAATTAAGCATAAAAGGTTACCATTTCCATTAAAATTATGAAAGACCTAAAGTGATATCCATTAAAAACTTAAACTTTGGCTTGAAAATTTAAAAAATATAATGACCATTAATTTTCTGACAGCAAATATCATCTATTCACTTATTCTCAATTAATGGTAATTAAACAATTAATGACAATAATGGAATGGATTAAAAGGTCTCTTGGTTTTTAATGGAAAAATTATGAAAATATATAGAAGTGTATCGAAAAATACATTTTTATATATCACGCCTAGGTAATTATACACCACACATTCTTTTTTAAAATACTCTAACAAGCATACAAAAAATTGGTACTGATCACACCCAAACTTCATAAAACAAACAAGTTTAGATAACAAACACCAACTATCACACAGAAAACTGGTTTTAATACACTTCAAAATTATCACACATCTCTCACTTCATTTAAATTTACCTTGCAGACAATTTTGCTAAAACAAGAATTCCTTGGGAGTGGATGCGTCGCCTGTTCAGCTCTTTTAGCAAGAAAAGTGTTTTGGCTTGAGTTATCGCGGAAACAGATATGCCAAAACGTGGAAAGTTGGAATTCGACAAAACTTGAAAGGAATTGGTTAAAAATTTTAATGGTTCTTTTATTTACTACACAATGCCCTTATTTGGCAATAAAAGGAGCATAACTCCACAAAAAATGTACGTAAACTTCTGAAATGCAAAATTATCCGAGCTATATTGTTATGCAATATGTGTACCAAGTTTGAGTTCAATCAACCCAAGGAAACTCAAGTTATCCCACAGAAACCTTGTTTCAGATGACACAACCGCCGCCGCCTCCAAAGTAATACCTATATGACACAAATTCCCAAAAGACCATGATAATGCTGCATATATGAGATCATGTGTCAGAAAAGGGTAGCACTTGACAATATTCAAGAAAGAAGCGTCCTGAACTTTGACCTGATATCCCAACTATTCCAGTAGAAAGCGTCCCGATTCTGATCTGGTATCTGTTGGACTCCAGATGGCGATCTTACCATCAGAGCTCCCTGCACCACTGATGATATATCTCTCCTCTGCACAACAGAGAGCTCGCACGGCATCACAGTGGGCCTTGAGGTGTTTGTTAGTCTTGCGTGTCTCGATGTCCACCACATATATGATCCCTGACTTGGTCCCCACCCACATCTGAAACATGCAATGTACCACAACAAAATAACAAGAGGCCCAATGGGATTGCATCACTCACCTGGTATTAATCTCACACTTGTAATCTTAAAAGTGGACTAAAATACAGCTACAGGCAGAATATCAGTATTTGATTCATAAGAACCAATTAAAAGATTTAAACATATGACGCCTGGGACCTTGAATGTCGAACAAGGACATTAGGTTGAAAGTGGGTAAAAGTCATTCATTTTAACAAACTTGTTAGTCCTTCATCCCAGCATTCTACAAGCCTAATATCAGTACCCTGGGCCTTTTGGTTATTGAGAAGTGGTTTGAACATTTTACAACATTTGACCCCATTTGACCTTGAAAGTGGGTCAAGGTCATTTATTTGAACAAACTTGGTAGCCCTTTATCCCAGCATGCTACAGGCCCAATATCAGTACCCTGGGCCTTTTGGTTATTGAGAAGTGGTTTGAGGATTTTAGAACATTTGACCCCATGTGACCTTGAAAGTGGGTCAAGGTCATTAATTTGAACAAACTTGGTAGCCCTTCATCCCAGCATTCTACAGGCCCACTATCAGTACCCTGGGCCTTTTGGTGATTAAGAAGTCGTTTAAAGATTTTTAACATATTTGACCCATGTGACTTTCAAAGTGGGTCAAGGTCAGTTATTTGAACAAGCTTGGTAGCCCTTCATCCCAGCTTGCTACAGGCCCAATATCAGTACCCTGGGCCTTTTGGTTATTAAGAAGTCGTTTAAAGATTTTTAACATATTTGACCCATGTGACTTTGAAAGTGGGTCAAGGTCAGTTATTTGAACAAACTTGGTAGCCCTTCATCCCAGCATGCTACAGGCCCAATATCAGTACCCTGGGTCTTTTGGTTATTAAGAAGTTGTTTGAAGACTTTAAGACATTTGACCCTGTGACCTTGAAAGTCGGTCAAGGTCATTCATTTGAACAGACTTGATAGCCCTTCATCCCAGCATGCTACTGGCCAAATATCATCAGCCTGGGCCTCCTGGTTATTCAGAAGAAATTGGATTAAGTAAAATATTGATGCCGGACGCCGCACCACGGCATAAGCTCACTTGGCCCTTTGGGCCAGGTGAGCTAAAAAGTGGACCTAAAGGCCAGTTCTAATTTATACCATTTTTAAAACATCAAACTTTCACTACACCTGTATCATTGTATACAATGGGAATGTATTTGCAACACTTTTTGAAGTGTAAATCACAAACGGACACTGATACTAAAATATTATTTACACGACAAATAACAAACAATGTAGGATAAATTCTCAGAATTTATTAACAAGTCTGCAGATAAGGGGTGCCTATCACCTGTAGCAGTACCTCCCTTGGACCTGCTGGAGAATAGCCGATAAGCTATTGACCCCGTAGTGCTGGAAGAGCAGAGTGCTGAAAAGCTGTGGCCAACAACCCGGTTCGAACATGGACTTGGACTGTGACTGACCCGAAGCTCATGGAAAACCATAGCCTGGTCGCTTAAAGGTCCGGAAGTCGGCTAGAGTTGGGAGTTACATCACTTAGGCCTGGAGTTCAACTTAATGTCTTACCCTGGGCCATATAGAGTTGATGTATACAGTCCAGCTAACCCTAGGTTCTGGAGTTGGATTGACCGATTTGGGGTGTATAGCAGCAGACTGGCACCATTAATAATCCATGTTACATGTTATTACATGATGACAGTTTACTGCCATAGGCCCAAA